GGTGAGAAGCAGAGATCTTAAAATGATCGCAATGTGGATACAGGGCTACGCGGTCCCTGGCTTTGGCTTGACAGACTCTTATTGCTCGTGCTGGCTGGCCACTAACAAACACCCATAAACACACACGAGCATGTGTGCCTGTGTGTACACTAACATTAAAGGGAGGTAATTCTGCAAGAACAGAAATGCAACACACACAAAAGCACTACACACAATCAAAACACACACACAAACAGACACACAGACGCACAGGCAGGATCCTTTTGAAGAGTGAGAGGGACCGAAAAGGGGGGGAGTAGGGGAGAAAGAGAAGGAGAAGAGAGGATGGAGGGGAGGGAGGGTGGTGGCGGTATTTATAGACAACAAGTGATGGGATGCCCTCGTTAGTGCACGGCCCACTGAGCCAGATGATAGACGCGCCGCCAAGAGGTCATGTGACCGCATTACTCACTCCGGCGCCCTGTGAGAGGGCCCGTCGAGCAACAGAAAGGGAGCAGGAAAGGGAGGAAGTGGAGGAGCAGAGAGAGTCAGAGGAGAAGGGGAACAGAGGGGGAGAAAACTACCCATGAACCCTGCAGTGCCCGTTGCCCTATTTCAGCCAAGCTGTATACAAACAAACTTTTTTTTCACCCTTCATTTGGAGGACGTGCCACTTTTGGGGCGCTGACCTCAATTACCCGATGCGGTCACAACTCTGTTTCGTAACCAGATAGAACAAAAACTCTCCCCAGACATCGCAGTCACAAGAGGTGACAGCTCGTCGTTCAGAAAATTTACTTTTTAGAGAGATGACGTTTCCCGTGTAATTGCTCAGAATGGCACGGCGGGCTTTGGTCTAATGATAGGCTTCCACAGAGATCTTTAAAGGGGAGCTGTGGTTGCTAAGACAATACCTGCTGCTAGTTTCCCCCATAGAGGCCATAGCTGTAATCCTCTAGATCTGACACCCCCCACCACACACACACACACACACACACACACACACACACACACACACACACACTCCCCCTCAGGGCTCTACAGACACCTCAGAGCCAGGAGCTCGACCCAAGACCCTGTAAAGCCTTAGACCTGAACCTCATGACTTCTTTGAAGAAAGAATGAGAAAGGAGTCGGCAGAAGAGGTGAGAAGGTGTCATGGATGCAGCGCATTAAGAACGACGAGGAAAAGAGACAGAGAAAAGCCACAGTGGACAAATTCAAGATAAGCACCAAGAAAGAACAATACAATACTGATGCAAAAGAATCAGGAAGAATCATCTGAGTTTGCAGATTATCTTTTGAGGCACACGAATGTACTTGCACACACACATACACACAAACACACCGTACCAAAATACCACATAAAAGAGCTCTTGTATGGGCAGGTGAGTGTTGGTGCAGGGTCCTCCTCTCTTTCAACTCACACTACTTCAAACAGCCCCCTGCATGCACATGAAACTGGGCCCTCAGCACTACAAACAAAGGTGGTGCCTCCACTCAGAAACACAAAGAAATAAAGGAAAACAGTTTGTGTATTTGTGCATGTGCATGTAGCAAAACAATATTTAAAGGTCTATTTAGCATTGATGTCATATTTTAACAGCAAAATCATTCATGACAATTGTTTTTATGAACCTGCAATAATGCTAAAAGGTCAGCAAACCACACTAAATCTTAACTAAAAGACTATTTTGGGTCTCAGAAGCTCATTTTTACTGTTTTTGTGTTTTTTACTTTCATACATGTTTTGTTAAAGCAAGGATTTTCATTGACAATGACTGTTTCTTTGTAACTGTTGTGTATATGACAATAAATAACTTAATCACATAATGATAACACATCTCGTTATATCTCAACAACTTTTGGATGGACTTGCATGAAACTTCACAGAGACCATCTAGTCCCCAGAGAGTGAATTCTAAGGGCCCTGACACATCAATTCAACAGTCAGCCCTTGATCAATGCTGGGTCCGCAGTGAGCGTCTGTCACCCTACTTTCTGCAGTGTGCTCTGCGTTGCTGGCACTAGTTGGCCCTTGTCAACTGTTTTTTAACTGATTCAGCATGCTGAATAAGTGTCGGAGCTGACGCAGCCCATCGGCGAGAGAAATCACTCTGACTGGCAGGTCAGCTCAGTGCATGAGAAGACAAACGGAAGTGAGGAAAGTAAACAAATGACTAAAGTCAAGAGCTCTTTAGCAAAAACGCTTCATAACTGTTTTTGTTACAATTTGCTAACAAACATCAGTAAGCATTGTTAATGTGCGAACTGGCTAACTAGCGTCTTGAAGCTGTCTTGTTGCTGTTCCGGTTTCCCTTTTTGGATGACGAATACCGACTACCACCACCTGCTAGCATGGCAAGTTATCTCCTCCTCTTACGCAGGTGCAGAATGTACCTGCTGGTTGGCCACTGGCGGTGTGTTCAAGTGCAACTTTATGGCTGGGACAAAGGTGACGTGACGCAACACAACCTTTGTCGTAACTAGTTCCTTGTTGCTGGTTTGGTTTGTCTGGGGCTTAAAGGTTTTGGTGATCCCCTGACCTTCCCTTGAGCACCACCATGAGGTTGACATTTCTGGATTTTCAGTGAAATGTTTTGACAATTATTGGATGGATTTCCACAAAATTCAATACAGTTATTCATGTCTATCAGATGATGAATTCAACTTTTCATCTAGCACCATCATCAGGTTAAATTTACTTTGTCTCATACTTCATTATATGTTACTTGCACATCTAAAAAGACACCCCTTTTGAAATAAATTTAGCCTGGTTTTAACTCAGGTCTCTGTGGACCTGCAAATTACCAAATCAATGTTTACTGGGTTTCAATAAAGACCAGACATCTATTGTAATCTAGCTTAGTCAGCTCAAATTGGGTTTAGGGTTTTTAGCTTATTAAAGCAAACCACTTTGTGTGATTAAACTAACAGTGTTTCTCCTCAAGTGTTTCTCCCACATTTGGGCTGAGAGCGGCATGGGAGCTGCGATCCCAGGACCATTACAGTTTAGTCTGGTTGTTGTGGTTGGATTAAGATGTTAGCTATCCCCTGTTAACCTCTCCTCACTAGACAGGGCCTGATCCAGGACCTAACATGGTGAGGAGGGAGATGGAGCCAGATGAAAGGATATGAGGGATATAAGACTTACATGGGCCCACACTGCAAGAGACTCCTGAAGGGCAGAAGGTTAAGGAGAGTAGAGAACCCTCCCTCTTTCTCCCTCCCTGATGCATGTTCCGAATGCTAAACACCAGCCCACCACATCCTCATCCCCCTGTACCTCCTCCTTGCTCTCCTCCTCCCTCCTCTCCTCCCACCTCCTGCGCTGCAGAATCACTGATGTGAGGTCTTTTGTGAGAGAGCTGGCTGGCCTCAGCCTGGGCTCTGTTACGGCCTGACCACTGACCCACTCACCCGCCTTTTAAAGAGGTTTAAGGGTCATGGGTTCACAACAAGGTGACTCAACTGTGAACGGCGGGTGGCATCCTCTTTCAAAGGGCCCACGTCTTCACCTTTCCCTCTCAAGACTCTTTCTCCCTCTTCTTCGCCCCCTCTGTCTCTCTTTTCTTTCCTCTTTCTCTCTTTCCCTCTCTGTCCCTCTCCCTCCCCTGCAGCCCGTCTTTCCATGTATCCTCAGTGACTGACCCGCCGTCTCAGCCCTAATTAGCATAGCATCCCAGAGCGAGGAGAACATGAAGGCTAATGGGGGTTGGGGCCCCGTAACAACACTGAGGGTAAAGCTTCAAGTTTCTAACTAGGGCCATCACCTGACCACATTTACATGGGTTTCTGCAACCAGAATGCAGGCAGGAGAGTAATGCATGATAAATTATTCCTTTTTCTTGGTAGAGGAAGTGAAGTAGAAGGGAAAGGCATCAGGATTCAGGGCAGCGCTGCATGGGAGGTTTGGCTTGTGTCAGTAATGTATTTTGTCTGAAATGCAATGAGGCCAGCTTTAACAACAATGCTGATTAGGGAACAGAGGAAAAACATTCACTGTGGAAATACGGTGATCCGAAACAAATACTGATCTATATTTAGGTTCAAAGCTAACTCTGTCTGGTTTCATGATAGCTGCAAACAATTCATCGCTATTTTCTTTTACTCTGTGTCAAATACTAGTTGGGTGGGCTTAACTGCAACAGGATAATTAATGTGTCAATCCAAACTATCAAATGAAGTGAAGAAAACATTTTGGTATGAGTTAAGGAGAAGTTAGAGTTAAGTTAATTTTGTAACTTACAAAATAAACTGTGAGCATTTTCCAACAATGTGACTGCAGCTGCATTGAGACCCAAACCTCCACCCCCAAACTGACAGGCTCTGAACATCAACTGCAGCACAAGTGTCATCACTAGGGCTGCCCGCTTATAGTAGACCAAACGTTAGTTGACCAGAAAGGTCATTAGTTGGCAAGATTTTATTGGTCACTTAGTCAAAGAAGGAGAAAAACAAACAAACGTGAAACTGTATTAGTAGCTGCGCCTTGTCGAAATAAATCAAAACCTATATGACTGGACCATGTGGGAATCTAATTTGGAAGGACAGACACAGGAAGTGGCCATGCTCAGCAGTCAGACAGGAATCAGGTTAATTTCCAGGGCTGGTACCTGCGGTTATTCCACAGGCTAGTTAATAACATGTCGGGCAGGAAATCCAAAGTGTGGGATCATTTTGAGAAGGTGAAGGACGAACCCAAGGTGATATGTAAACTCATCTTCACTGGTCGACTACAAACATGACGTATCATCTGAAACATGTTAGTAGCTACATGTCCATTAGCCACTTGTTTACGTTTTACAAAGGGTTTAACCTGAGCAATGCCATACAACAATAACAGCAATCATGTCACATATATTTTAAATGGTTCAACGAGTTCAGGTATCAGAATTTGTATCAGGAAGGAAAAATACTACTTGAACACTTCTAGAGTTAATAAAAAGCTTTAGTATAAGACATAAACCTTCTATGATCTGCTCATTAAGCACCACAGAGCCACATATGGACCAACTTACCATTCCATGTCCACAGTCAGTCCCATCAGCCAGTGGCATGTGCTGTGTGCGACATCCTTTATGGTCCCCCTCTGCACTGGTACACCACAGCCTCTTGCACTGTTTCTGCAGGAAAAAAAATAAAGCAATTAATCATATTTGTCTGAACAAGAAAAGAGCATGTTTATTGCGTGAGAACACAAGCTTCCAACATGTGCAAAATACACTTATAACTAGAAATGTTTAATTTATTCGATAACTTTTAATTTCATCCAGCTGACAGCTGAATTTAACTGCTGTTTCCTTCCATACTGCCTCTTTCTTTTGGGAGGAAGAGTGTGTGATTGCAGACCAAAACATTGCTGTTGGTTTCTTCAAACGATTTTTCAGTCTAAGTAGCAGGGAACTGACACTTTCTTTTGTGCTTCATTGCTTTCTAGACATGTGCAAGATGCATTTTAAAGGCCCGGCACTGGGTTTTAATTAGTGGTCGTGCAGTCAACAATAGGCAGAGTTTATCTGCCTCTTTGTATGCTGTTAAACTGCATGTCACACATTCCACATGGGAATTTACCATGAATGTATTCCATTGAATATTACAATAAAGAGTCATAAAACTAAACCCAGTTAACTGACTGCAGTTTCATATCTGTTGGCCTTTATGGAAAACTGCTTTGCTCAGATGTCTGAGGGTTCATTAAAACAAGGTTTTCTTGTACATCTGAGCAGATGACAACCATTTCAGATCTACTTCCATCTGAAGTCTTAATTCTTCACTTTTTCAGTGTGGTTTTGTTCGCTTTTAAAAGCAAGCCAACTTACCATGTAAGGGCAAATTTGGGAACCGGGTCCAAACATCAGTTCACACTGCCTGTTGGCATTGTAGATTTGACCAGGGAGGAGGGTCGGCAGCTCGTACGTCCTGCCTACAGGTTCATCAAGAAGGCACTCTCCATAGCCGGTGCTAAAAAAAAACAACAATGTGTGTACAGTAGATTAAAAGGAAATCACAAAACCATACAAGTGTGTAAACAAACAAGTGTGCACACAAATACACATGCATGCGCCAGGCCAAGTTTCACGGTATGAACATTTTCAGGATAATCCAGTATTTTCTGACGCCAAAAAGTGTCAACACATGTCATCTCTTTCATAAAAGCAATGTAAACTATTTCACCGTGTGTGATCATCCTCAGATGTGTTTTCCCCTGTGGGTGGTCTGAAAAGTTACCTAACAGAGAGACTGACACCACTTCCCCTCAATGGCCTGTTAGTAAATGCTGTCACTATGAAACTGGAGTCAGGCGCCACTGACTGAATAAAACAGCATTCTGATACAGGCAGAAAAGGTTCTGCATACGAGGTGTATTTCTCTTCGCAGAAGAAAAGCAAGAGAATTTGGAACCATAAAGCTCCCTGATTAAGTTACATAAATTGGTGCCAGCACCGGCATTGCAGCATAATGACAGATTGTGCTGTGTATCAGCCACGCCCTGAGCCACGACACAGTAACAGAGACAACAAAAGCACAGCTGGACTGAACGCATGCACCTACACCCTGCATATAAAACCATCAACCTTTACGGTCATGAAAAGGCACAAGTCAAACATGTTAGCAGAGCGAGCCAAGCCTCAAAGGATCTCTTCCTTTTGTTGTTTACTTTTGAGAAAGGAAACTGGCGGATGAGACATGTACAGATGTGTAATTACACAACATGTCTGCGCCGCGCTGACAAATTTAATCTGGGATCGAGCTGCTAAAACACCTGCTCCATACAGCACCAGCTGATGTGACAGGCCGATAATTACACAGGATTATCCTGAGTTACCGTCACTTTGTTTCTTTCCCCTTTCATTTCCAGACATAATGTCAGAAAACTGGAGCAAACAGTGCTGGGTGGCAGGGGAATGAGTGCATGAGATGAATAAACCTGCAGTTGAAGATACTGTGAATGAAAACTTTACAGCAGCCTGTCAAAGAATCGTACACAGTCCATATTACAGCATCTTTCAGCAGTTGGTCATCTGTCTAATCAGTGTCCTGGAACCTAATGGAATGATTATTAAGACCGAGACAGACAGACAGACGGAGGGAGAAGGGGTCACTGTGGTCATTTTTTAAATGAAACGTCTACTTTTTCTTTTTTTTAAGAATATTGGCTGCATGCGATTCAAGATGGCGAGGCAATTCCTCTCTGGCAGCAGAGGAGATCCCACACCTGGCAGCCATTGAGAAACTTGAAAGTGAGTTTATTTATAAGATGACTTATAGTTGGCTGTTTTGTGCTTGTCATAAGAGACTAAACAATAATAGTTTCCATGTACACCATACTGGGTTTCCCTGTGCAAACAGCGCAACAAAGTCTGCTCATATGTCAGACTGATGGTTTCTGCAGAGGGAATGACACAGAGCATCACTGCACAGTGCTTGATCAAACAGCGCCAAGTAAACTGCAACAATGCTGTCATGTCAGAGTCTTGACGCTGACAGCATGTATCGATTACTGTACAGGAAGATACAGAAAAATATGAGAGAGGTTCAGTTGAATTTGAAGGAACATACTGAAAATAAAAATCCATCTTGATTTTATTAAAGTCTCCCTGTGCTCAAAAACGTGCTTTTCTTCTGTTTACGTCTCCTAAACTGAATTATCTCGACTATACAGACTTGTAACTGGGCAAAGTTTGTCACTCAAGAGGTGTTTTTACATTACTCTACTGAAGGGGGGCAGTATCGTGCATTTCTTTGAAATCTAAGATACTAAACGTACACCAGGCAGCTCGATTAGGTATGTCACTAATACTAAAGCCAATCGGGGGTAAGAGACTTTGACACCAGGCCCGCGGAAAGCTGCTCAGCCTTGCAGCCAATGTTTCCCAGTGGCCACTTACTGTATTGCAGCGAAAAAATCACCTGCGGCCCCAACAGGACTTTGCCCATAGGCCACCACTATAAAACAGATGTCCGTAAATCTGTTGACAGGACACCTTGAACTGCAACCAAGGTGAGCTATGACTCTTTTTATTATGGATTTTTGATCCATGGTTAATTCGAAGGTTTTATATTTGTAAAACTCTAAAAATCTGCAACATCATCACAATATAAAGTCTATGAGCCGAGCAGGGCCAGCAGAGGAAACACTACTGCACATTTTTAGTGGGCCACATGCCGTAGAAGTAAACCCTGAGGCTTTTTTTGGCGTATGCGCCAGGCGAGTAACTCCACTGGAATGAATATTTGCCATCTGGGATTCGGTATCTAGTTATTATTATAAATCTATGTTTGACATAGAAGCGGCAAAGAAATCTGACACCTGTCAACTTGTCAAAGAGCAAAACTTTGCATTTAGCATAGTGACAGTTCTGACAGCAAACATGGCACAGTGTGCAGTTTTTGGATGTAAACCAGACCCTGGAGCTTCCTTCAGATATCTACAGAAAAACCCCATCACAGCAGATATTATTGTATGTTTTACAATCATTAATGCAGTCTCAGTCACTGCCATTTAGGCTACAAGCTAACAAGCTAACAAACAACATAAGTAAAAAATGCTAATTACACTTACTATTCTGATACATCTGCTAAACACTGATTCTGGTGACTCCTCATCTGAGTCTGGGTCTGACTGAGGCTCAAACATATGGATGAATCTTTTCTATGTTTCCTCTGACCTTAGCCATCCTGCTGGCATTGCTCTTTTACCGGTCAACCTAGCACGAGCAGTGCTGGATAGAACGGAAAGCAAAACTTAGCGCAAGCAAATTTCTCATTGAGGGAGAAGGAATAGATCTGCTTCCAGCCCCTTTTCAATTTTTTTTTTTGCATTATATGGGAAAACCATGTTTAACAAAATATCAGTATAATTACATTTAATTACTTAAAATATGTCTGGAGAGGGACTTTAAGAAAATGACAGATTGAAAAGTATTTAAAAATGGCTTCACATGGGGTTTATTTTAAGAGTTGTTGCTGCCAGAGTGGTTGGGCTAATGTCTGAGGTGTGTAATGGAGAATGATAGGGCTTGTTGCTACTAATGACTGTGTGGTTTCAACACCCAGCGAACTCAACAATTAGTGGCTAACAACAGTCAAGGATTTGCATTTTACTTTTTATATTTGGATTTTGAGGCATAAATCAAACGGCACGGTGCCACGGAGGGAATGAATGGTTGCTTTATGTCGCAGTTGACACATAATCACACTGAACAACAGCAGGACGCTTTTCATCAGCTCTCAGGTGCGGGAGTTCAGCGCACATTATTACAGTGACAGTGAGATAAGGGGGGAGAAGGAGGGGAATCCTTTGCCATTTGAAGAGGGATGTTTGAGAGGTGGCGCTGCCTTTCGTTTTTTAAACTGGTAGGAGAGTGGCGCGGATTGAATTTGCTCTTCAGGGAGAATGGGCAGTCAAAACACTGACGTACTTGACCAGGTCGGCCCGCTGAGCAGGAGCGGTACTGTAGAAGTGGTCGTTTGAATCAATGCTCCTCATTGTTGGCTGGAGATGAATTTCAAAAGCACTTGGACGACACTCTCAAGGGTTTTCCCACCGCTGCGGCTCCCACACTGAATTACTCTCTTCATACCTGCATTGTTTCATACGTCCCATATGGTTACCAAATGTTCACGTTTATCTCAAATGCGTCTGAGGTTTACATCATACTCCTGGTTATTGTGCAGCAATCAGCCCTACACAGAACCCCAACACAGCTGACAGTGACCGAACCAAATAATAAAGAGATTCATGGAGATCCGAGATCATGGAGATGTTCCGACCGCTCCACGTTGAGGTCATAGCTGGCTGGAAACTATGTGAAGCACAACCTTAAAACTCCATACGAGGCATCGCCTAACACTGCGCTCTCAAGATGCATCTGGTCAACAAGGCCGTCCTTTGTGAGAGCCTCCACAATCAACAGAGGAAAGGAGGCAAAGATTAAAGGGTCATGTCCAGGGAAGATATAATTATAACTGACATTTCCCATCTTAAAGGGAAGCCTTTCACCAGGATCAGTGACCACAGAGCGGGTTAGGAGTTGCTGAATGAGTCGTTGCCCGTGTTACAGGTTTGAGTGTGGAAAGCAGGCTGGTGACTCGATTACTGTTTGCCCAGCATCTTGAGAGCAGGGCTCTGTCTGAGTGGGGAGACAGCTGAGGGGCTGCGGAAGACACATCGCTCAGGTCAGCCGAGGAAGACCCCCGGATTCAAACAGGAAATACTCTTTCAACACCAGGCAATAACAAGTCCACACAGTTTACATTGCGCTGACCTGTCTGCAGAGCGCTGCGAGGGACATAGAAGCAGTTTGTTTAGCCGGCCACGTCACAACAAGAGAAAGTTAATGGTGTGCTGAAAATGTGGATGTGATAATAAGAGATTGGAAAATAAATGGTGGAGCTTTCTCTACCATGAGAACAGTCTGTTATCAGTCATTTGCCTTATAATTTAGTTTAAAGGAGCAGTGTGTAGAATGGCATCAGGAGGTGAGGGCTGCAGATTGCAACCAGCTACACCTTCTCCCATGTGCCAAGCGTCAACTCCTGGTTAGGATTCCTTCGATTTTCATTGTTCAGGAGATTTTAACCAGGAGCTGAATTATCTGTGGGGGTCGCCTCTTCTTCAAAACAAACAGACCAGTTCATTAAAACCGGTAGAAACACTAAATAAAACAGTTTCACGTAACAAATCAGTGTTTCTCCAATGCAGTTTGGCTCGTTGCATAACGGCCGCTCACCCAGCACCTAACTCAATAACTTAAGATCCAAGCGTAAATAAGGTTCTTACCCGGAGCCGAATTATTCAAAGAGTTCTCTTCCTCTCTAAAACAAACGGACCCAGTGATTTAAATGCGTAAAAACACAGAGTAAAGCAGTTTCACGTTAAAATCAGTGTTTTTTCCAATACTGTTTGGCTGTTTCCCCCTAAATCCTACACACTGGGCCTTTAAAATTGGAAAGAAGAGCTGGTACCTACTCTAGAAACTCTGTGATGTACTTGCGGCTGCACTTGGACCACGACCAGGGATTGGTGTCATAGTTGAGCGTGGGAGCCATGACATGATACTGGTGCTTCATGCCCGCCTCCCGACACTTTGGGTTGTCATCGTGAGGCATGTTGAACCTGGTGCGGAGAGGGAGAAGAAAAGGGGGGGGGGGGGGGGNGGGGGGGGGGGGGGGGGGGGGGTTAGAGATGTGGCGAGGGATATAAGGAACACACACAAAGTGATTATCAGCTGCTTAATGGCTCAGTCGTAGCAAGGAGGATAAATGTCACAGGATTTACATTCAGCCATTTTTAACAGGGGATCACTCCACACCGTCGCTGTGGGTCGCCACACACAGATGCAGACACATCTACGAGTGATACTTCACACTCTGCACCTTTCCCTCCGCTCGTCTGTTTTTTGTTTGCGTCTTGTTTTACATACGTGTCTCCCAAATGTTTAGACAGTAAAAATCCCAGACAGGCTTCAATAAAACTCCAACTGGCCAGCAGGTGGTGAGACATTTTATGCAAAACGTCACTCTTTATCTATTAGCATCCATCCGCTCGACCATCATGACCAACATGCTAGTGAAAACCACCTCCAGCTCACCACCAAGAGGTCAAAGGTCAACATCTCACATTCTCAAAGAGCTTAATGCAGAGGCAGAGGGAGGGGCAGTATGTCTGTGCACATCAACGCACATGTATGTGGCGCCAGTGTAAACATGTATACATCAGAGCCACGATAAGGGCTGCAACTAATGACTCTGTTTATTAGCTATTCATCTGTCCATTATGTTTTTGATGTCTTGTGTGTCAGAACACAGAAAAATGGCGATCACGGGTTCAACAAGCACAAGGTGACATCTTGGAATTTCTTGTATTCTCTGACCAACAGTCCACAATGACGAATCCTTACATTTGAGAAGCTAAACAAGCTTGGGATTTTGGCTTAATAATTAACTTAAAAGCTTAAACAATTATCAAAGTAGTTGGTTATTAATTTTCTGATTGTTTCAGTGTCACAAAATGCAATAAAACGAGAGACTTGGCAGAAGAGCAGCTGAATCAAGTGAAGTACACAACATGGCATCTGCAGATTAATGAATTCATCCAGGCTGTCTGCAGCTGGCAGTCTCATAAAGCAAGTCTTCTTGATCCTGTCCAGAATATCGAGTCCGATGGGGATGTCCTGTTTTGTGCTGCGGTTTGGCACACTCCCATAAATACATGCAGTGTGTACACGCAAGCTCACACATGTGTATATACACACAGGAACCCATGCAGCTGTATGATGTCTGAGATGTTTACAACAGGATGTGGGCCAGTGCTGGGCTCTGGACTGTGGCTGAGGGTCAATCCATACCGTCACACAAACAAGACCTAGCATGGCTGGCATGAGGCCCACCCTACGGGGGCCGAGGGCCTGAAGGCAAACACCCAGGGAATAATTAAGCCCCTGGCACAGTAATGAGCTCTGCACACACACATAGAGCTGTTGGCTGATGCTGACAACATCAGATCTGGCTCAAACGGTATTTGCAAACTATTCTTTGTCACCTATGATGCAGAGGTGTGTCGCAGTGGTGCAGACAGTGACAGGTAACTTCAAAAAAGATCTTGATAGTTTGCTATGCAGACTTTTTTATTACCATGAAAGATTTGTGACGAGAGCCAAACAATTTGTACTCCTAACACATTATGATGATTTAGATCTGAAGGGAACAAATGAGGATACTGGCTTGAAATCCTGAGATGAGAGGCTTTTAGCATAATTAGGTCGTAAATAAGGAAGTGTTATGGCTCTCTGTTTGGCAACCTCAAGGGACAGATCAATAGAGGAGTTGATTCCAGTGGGAGTGTATCAACCCCGGCACTTAATTATTAGCATCTAGGCTAGAATGTGATTAGTTAGAGTCCACTCACATTTACTCAGCGCTCAACAGAACAAATTGCTTTGTTCTCTGCACATGACATCCTTCATGCCGCGCTGTCATCCAACATGATTTTCAGCGAGACAAAAACAGATTTCTGTGCTGAAATGCCCATAAATTACTGTGAGAGTAAGACATACTGCCGGAGCGATGACGACCTGAATTCCTGCAGATTGACTGTACATAAATAAGAGTCGGAGCAAACAGCGCAATCAGCAGGAACAGCCCTTATCAGCACTTCAACAGAGACAGAGCTCAGTGACACCAGAGGGAAAAATGGATTCCTAACTTGTCAGTGGATTACACATCTTAGCTCCGCAAAACAAACCATCTCTGACAATTTCGGTAATTGTATCCACTTAGCCAGCTTGCTGAGTTTATGTGTGATCAGGATAATGCCAGTGAAGTGTTGTGGTGTAGCCTTTCATACATCCTAAGATGTTAAAGAGGAAGGCCTGTTTGCAGCTGCAGACTCTAACGTCACATCAAAATGTCAGGAAGATTTAGACATTTAGAGCCTCGGCATCGTCTAGTGACAAACTTGATTATATGTGCCACCTTTGAACGGCTATCAAGTGACACCGCCTCGCCTGAAAATCCCCATGATGGCTATTAGCAATCACACGTCCTTGCAGTCATCTGAGAAAGGCCTCCTCTCCATTAGTCTAAATCTTTCTTTAATCTGCAATGGCTCTTGAGGCTCCCACTACCTGACACTGGCTTTCCCAGAGCGCTAAACACTCTGGAGAGCTCACGCCTGTGAACGCAGCGATTAACCACGCCAAGAAGAGGCAGAGCCAACTGGGCCTCCAGCTGCTTGAACTTAAGCATAAACAGATCCACACAAGATGCAAAGGGAGACGAGGGGGAGCCGTAGATTCTGTCCATCTGGCCGCTCTGGTCCAATCTCTCCACTGGAAGAATGTGTGAGCGGGGACAGAGGAGGTAGAAGAATATCTTTCATTCTTAACCAGTGGCTCACACACACACACGACACTGGTCCTTTTTACTAGCCTGCAAAAACGGACAAGCCAACCGGAAAGAAAATCTGTCACTCATTCTCTCTGTAAGGGAGGAAGGAAGAACAGGACAGAAAAAGACGTGTAGCCCCTAAGTATCTTTACATCAAGTTTTTTATGTAGATTGTAATTTAATGCTCTGCTCAGAATACATGTGTTTGCTCAATATAAATAAATTCTAGTTGGTATTAAACATCTTCACTTTAATATAGACATACTCTGCAGCTTTAAATAGTGTGGTTACAGAGTCAAACTTGGTGAGAATGCTGAGCAAACCGAGTCCAACCTAAGTTGTTTACTTTTCATTGTAGGTAATAGTAGTTGTTTACGAGTCTTTCCACTTTTCCTGTAATGCGATCGGCTGGTGGGCAGAAGCTAGAGAAGAGCGTATGTAGTTGAGCGAGGAAAGAGAAGAGCTCGGATAGAAGCAAGAGAGAAAACATCTAGGAAATTTGGTGTAACTTGTGTTTGCAACTTATAGTGCTGCAGAAACTGGAGTGTATTAAGACTGCTGACTAGTGAAAAGCTGCGAGCCTGTGCTGTGCGTAACTAGTGAAGCTCAGATGCAACCTGTTGCCGCGTTCTTGAAAGCTGGCACAAAAGAGGCACAAGAGTGGCGGCAAACCTTGTGTTTTCCAGGTGATTGAAGACGCAGCATGTGTACGGCCCCTAATTTCCAGGGCTGGCACCTGCGGTTATTCCACAGGCTAGTTAATAACATGTCGGGCAGGAAATCCAAAGTGTGGGATCATTTTGAGAAGGTGAAGGACGAACCCAAGGTGATAAGTAAACTCATCTTCATTGGTTGACTACAAACATGACGTATCATCTGAAACATGGAAGTAGCTACATGCCCATTAGCCCACAGCGTCATTAACAGGCGGCTCGCTCAGTGTGTGACATGCACTTGTAGATAAAATATAGGCCTATATTAATGAAGGTTCATTAGTACGGTTTTGTATTTCTCTGTAATGTAGCACAGTGTTAACAATGTTACTGATACTATTCTTTCTCACACCTTCAACTCAAACTATTGTGTTGCCCCGCCCAAAATATATTATTTAATAATTAAATTAATATCATAAACATTTGGATGACTAGTCGACTAATGGCCCTAAATGACGACTATTGGTCGACTAGGAAAATTCTTAGTCGGGGGCAGCCCTAAGTGAACAATAAACATAATGGTTTAACTAACTAGGGAATGAAGTTTATGAACACAGGGTGCTACCTATTGAAAGACAAGCTAAAAACCCCACAGACAGATGCTTCATCTTTCTCAAAAATATGCCCAAAAGTGTGCTTGCTGAGACGGAAAAGAAGATGTCCATGTCAAAGAAGAACCTGTGTGTTAACCACGATTCAATTAACTGAACTGGATTAAATGTCAGAGGCTCTAATGAGTGATTTACCATCATTTTGTCTGTTGGATATTTGGAATAAACATCTCCCACATAAGAGACAAAGTCCTGTGTTTTGACTTGGTCATCTGGATACAGATTATACATACAAGCCTTTTTTTCCACCTCGTACAAGTGGCAATATTTGCTTGTTGTGAAAACACACTCTGGGAGACAGGCATGTTGTGATAACACTGCCATTACTCGCCAACAGACAAAGTTACATATGACGACACTGCGACATCTTCAGCTTGTGTTATCAGTCTCTTGGGCTGATACATGGAGAAGGGGCTGGGAACAAGCAGACAAAATATTTAGCCTCGCTCTGTCTGATAAAGTCCTGTGTGCCACTCTTACGAAATCTTTGGATGTATTTACTGTATTTGGAGAACAGAGAACTGTATGTTATTTTGTACCACAAAGAGACAAAGCTCTTACACATACAGGGTTAACTTCTTGAGCTGTGTAGTAAGGTATTACAGACTGGCATGTTATTAAAAGTCAAGTTTTTCACTTTATTATGTTTTGCACCTGTGTCTGCTGCGCCCTACGTCTCTTGATAAGAGGGCTTTTGTTGGTCAAAGCTGGCTGTGAGGGGTGAGATAGGCTGTGTGTGTGTGTGTGTGTACAGTATGTGTGTGTGTATGTTGGGTTAGGGGGTGGAAGGGCTCTGTGCTGCAACTTACACATGGCCCAGCTCATGAGCGATGGTGAAGGAGGCACTAATTCCATTTTCCTCACTGATGGAGCAGCTCCGGTACGGGTCGCACATTGTCCCCAGCTCCGCGAGCCCTGCAGGGTCACGTACACGCACGGAAAAACACACAGATGCACATAAACACTTACAGACACACAGCTATTTGAAGAAAAAAAAAACTGCTGCTTGAGTGTTAAAGGCGATTAAACCATCAAAACTTTTGTTCCGTAAGAGAGATTAGCACCGCCACCGACTCCCTCCATCCTCCCTCCCTCCTCCCATTTCTACCACTCTGCTCTGTCACTATAATATTATTAGCTGACAGCCTACCATAAACTCATTACTGCACAGTTTATGAGCTGTCGTTAACAGAGTGGAAAGTCAATTGAAACGGACTTGAGGTGGAGATATTTGTGCAAAGAGAAAGACAAAAGTTTACCTAATGTGTCACATTTATCTTTCGCACGGCAGATGTCTTCTCTGAAAAAAAGAAACACACCACTCAGTTAGATCTCTTTCAGTTTTCTTGCAGCTTGGCTTTTTGTTTGCTGGGGAAGAGTGTGTACCTGGTGATAAGGAGTGCCGTGTCATGGTGAGAGGGATGGCTGTCATCCTGGATGTTTTGGCTCTGCTGCCAGACACAGAAGTTGTGGAGAGTCGTGGCGGCATTGAAGCTCACTGTGGGCCCTTCCTGTTTTGGGTGAAAGACCATTGAGGATGTAACTAAGAAACCGTGTATATGTATTGTAATGTTGTAACTAGTAGTTAAAGTAACTACGTCTTGAAGGGGCTGTAATCGAAATTAGGAGCATATGTTGTCCACATGGCTCCCAACATAGAAGCCACTGAGCCAGCAGGTAGCAGCTAACAGTACCACTCTATAAACAGCACTAGGCCTGTCACAATTATTATGTTATCAACTTATCAGGTCAGGTCAGCAAAAATTATCCAGGTCATGTCCATATATGGTACAATGTTGCCTTTGTGTTTGTTAACGTAAGAATGTCACCAACATTTCAGTCAACATGATGCCAGAATAAATAGCCAGCAGTACATCGCTTGTTAAGAAATGACTTTCTACACCCCTGTGCCAAATGTTTAATATTAATTTAAGTGCAGTTTTTCTTAAAAGAGCCTGAGAGTCTATTTAATTCATTCCTTAGGTCAGTGGTTCACAAATGATGTGCCGCGGCAGACTGGTGTGCCGTGATTACCACACATAATTATGGCAATATTCAGCTGGGCCTTTACAAAAAGTTATGAATTAATTTTTAATTGACTGGATTAATATCTTGTGCACACCCATTTCCTGATAAAGAGGCAAACTCTACCTTAAAAAATGGATTTTAATTTAATTTATTTAAAAACCTTCAAAGTGTGTGACACATCACATTATTTATACATTATATCCCATTTAAGTGGATGTATAATTGGTGCTTTGATGTAATTTTATAACGTTTAAAATGAATTCTTGAATCATTGTGATAAGAAATATTTTATGAGTAATAGCTGGTTGGAAATTGTCATTTGATATCAGTAAATAAAACAAACATTTATGTCGTGATAAGAGTGATAACATGTTACAGAGGCTATTGTGCACAGATATGAATACAGGTGTGCCTTGAGATTTTGGCTTACCCTTTGGTGCGCCTTGGGCACAAAAAGTTAAAAAAGATTTTTTTTTATTTAAGACATATTTGAATATTCTTAAGAATTAAAAGTTAATTGCACTTTTAAAGGATGTATTTGCATTATTATGCTATTATTTTATTATTGTGTCTGTGTCTTAAAATGAGGATAATATAATTTCTCGCAATTTTTTCTGAGGAAAATACATCAGCCACCAAACGTAGTTATGGTGACAGGCATAAACAGTGCAAAACAACATTGTTGACAGAGCTAACAGTGTTAACCGGGGGGGTGTTAAGCTTTAGCAATGACGCCGTCCCAATAACAGCATGCACGTGCATGTGCAGCCATACCGATTTCCAACAACAAACCATAGAGAAGCTCAGATTAAAACACACACACAGAGGAAATTACCGATGATTGCATTTTACTCGCTTTGTTGGGATGACATGGTCTTTGACACAGATTAAGCCAAAGATCAGGAGCCTCCCACAGCTTTCCAAACAATGACAATTCCCTTTATTTAACTATTTAAGAATCAGTCAGAGTGACCAAACAAACTACAGTGAGCCAGCCACCTCTCATTTGCAGGTGGCTATCCGCCTCACTATGGTATCGTTTGTTTTCCAAGGAGACCTCTCTTGAGACTTGAAACTGACAAGGCAGGCAGTGTCCTTTCAAACAGGCCCCACAGAGAAAAGGCCAGGCCAGGGACACCTGCACTGACGTCAGCTGTGTCAGAGACCTGGATACAGGTAGCATTCAAGACCCCGCACTCACCTGTTCATTGTGGACGACGACTAGCTTGACAATCATGATGTTGATGAGGTTTCCTACACTGGGGTCTCTGTACACTGCTGCTACCTGTAACAAAGACAAAACACACAGACAAAAAATGCAAACCTCCACTAACCTGAACCAGAGCACAGACAGTGACAGTATGAAAGCTAGTCTCCTTCTCTTAACTCAATACTTGGAATGAGAAAAATACAGCTATTACTCTGTCTGGTTAAGCTCCATGAGGTTTAATCAAAATAGCAACAGTTCATTCAAGTCAAAAGAAACGAAAAATGTCTCCTTCAGGCTAAGTTTAATCAACAGGGTATTAAAACCAATTACAATTCCCCCAAAGACCTTGGCAAAGAAAAAATAAACTAAAACCTGGACCCAGCAACAAATGTGAAACTTCAGCAAAGCTGGAGTTCAGAGCCCCTCTGTGAGGACAGCAAAACATTCCCTCTGTAGTTTTTACCCTCCGCTTCTCTTGCCTCTCTCGCGCACCCCTGTCACGGTCGACCAGCAGTCTCCTGAGGCCGTGCGCTGCCTCCTGACAGGAACTCATTAGTCCACTATAAACACTTAGCTTGTCTTAGCCTGGGGGAAGGCAAACGTGGCCCAGGCCTGTCCAGAGTGGGCAAAGGGAGCCTGTCTTTGCATGCTCGAAGTCCAACTGTGACGCAGGACATGCTCTCACCCCAGTGTATGTTATTGTATGATCAGTGCAACAACTGCAAGAACCAGAAATGAGAGGGGCTGAGCAGGGCCATAGCTACCATCAGGGACACTGGGGCTATACTAACGGTAAAAATTCTGGACATTTTAGGGGTCAAATGGCAGGACGAGGAGTCTATACTGTTTTATAACACACATTGTACACATAGTGTTCTTTTAAGAATGATTCTGATATGTGCATCCACACGAAAAACAAACATTTTAACGTAAAGAAAAGAGATTTAGCTACTAGCTGTTATCCATCTGCAGTCCCTGGCCAAGTATAGACAATCTCAAGGAATGCTTTGCCAATTTTCAACCAGCTTTGTATCACATCAGTGTGGGCAGTATGTGTTAATGGACTATGGTAAATCTCTCTCCATCTTGCCAGCGCTCAGATCTCCCTGCTCATCTCTTTTCTGTTTTGTTTTTTTAAGATATTTTTAGGGGCATTTTTTAGCCTTTATTTGATAGGACAGACAAGCGTGAAGGGGGGGAGAGAGCGAAGGAGTGACATGCAGCAAAGGGCCACGGGCTGGAGTCAAACCCAGGCCTTGTACAGGGGGCGCCTGCTCTACCACTAAGCCACCGACGCCCCGTCCCTGCTCATGTCTGAGCTGAAATCACTTCATCACAGATTTTTGCTGGCTCTTGGGCTACTACAGAGTGTACTCACACATTCATATCACCTGTCACCACGGACGTAAAAGTGTCGAGGCAGACGAATCGAGGGGGCCACCCCTCTCAAACTCAGACCAAGCTGCAATGTGTGGCAGTGCTGATCAAATATAACCGAGATTCTGTTACTGTATTGTTTCTGTCTCGCCTAAAATGACTTGAGAAACATATTTTAGGTTATTGTTTAACTGTAATACGAGATCGTTTGTTATCAGCTGACTGCCATACTGTTTCCGGATAAGAATTAAACATTACATCATCCAGCAGAATAGAATTAAGAGAGAGCGTGTCCCCTATAGACGCCTGTCTCTAATATAGGCCTTTTGAGTTCGGTGATTTAAGCAAATAATAGCCCGGGCTATTAATTTAAGTTTTACGGTATATACAAAATGTGACTTAGGCACTTATTAGCATAAACAAAACTTAAAAACCTCAGTTGGATCAAACCCAGTGGATCAGACTGAGTAGATTTCTCTGTTCATATTTTGGCTGTTTTGGTTAAACGGTGGCTAAAGTAAAGTGACTGAGACACTGTGAAAGAGCACGGGGAAAAACATGTGTGTTTGTGTGTGTGTGTGTGTGTGTGTGTACCACTGGTCTGCAGACATAAGCATGGCAGAACTAATGTTTTGACTTCAAACCTGGCAATGAAAAAAGGGCCTGGCACATTTAACACTGACTGTACCCGTACAGTCTTACTTAAGGATAACACGCCACTGACAATCATTACTCCGTTATATGTTAATGAGTGTTTTGAACAGTCTGTCTGACACACTGCTGAGAGACAGACAGCAGAGGGTACACACAGTTCAGTACAATTGATAACCTATCCAGCTCTGACACACACGCACTCCTCCAATACTCTAATACATACGGAGACATTCAATCACAGTATTACTGGCCTGATTACCAGCCAGCTCTCCCAGTCAGATACAGAACTCATAAAGACATCAAGCTGCTGAGTCAGGCTTTTAGCAATTGACTGTGCCACTTTCGTCGAAGCAGCCACATGCAAGGGTCACATCAAGGTTTACAGCCAAAATGTCAAACAGTAACATGTGAGGCTAGAAAAACACAGACCTAGACTGAGGGTTTTTGTTACACATTTTAAAGGCTTTGTTCACCAAATTACAAAAGAAAACAGATCTTAACTCTAGTGTGCCGTGGAGATATTTTGGGTTTTATTAGCCCTGGGTTCTGAGGTGTCAGTTTCTGAGATTTATGCCACCACCCCAATACAATAAAGCTAAATTGATTTTTTTTATGTGGTGCTCACAGCATTGATTAAAGCTTTATGGTAACATTTCTTTAGAGAAAAGACCCAATTACTGGGGAACAATTCTGAGCTCCCTGTTTTCATAGGGACTATTTCCTGAGAATGTAGGGCCTATGAAAACCGCTCACACAGGGTCTCATTATTGAGAGTAACAAAACCTTTTTTAAAGTGTCTGTATGCTTTATTCAGAACATTAATATGTATGTAAAGATATAGTGGAGTAATGGCGTCCTGAGTAGAGAATAAAGTCATGCTACTTCTGTAATCTGAGCTTCTCTGTGGGTTGTTGCGGTAGCTGGTCTGGTTGCGTGTGCATGTGCGTATCCTACTGGCTAGCTAATCGTGGCCACTTTGCACTGAGCTCATAGGGCGCTTGCCATAGATATCGGGACAGCATTCTCTCAAAATCCTAAATGATTGAGTTGTTTTTGTTCCCACCTGGACCTTTATGCTCTGCCATTTCTCCTCTAATCATCACGCTGTAACCTGTGACAGGCTGTTACGCTATGATAACTATTATATATTCACATATATGTAGTTTTTTGTAGAGCTGCAAGCGTTACGTAGCACTCCCGTGTGTGCACAGTGAAGGAGGAGAGGGAGAGATGCTGTGCTGCTGCCAGAGGAGCCGCTGAATGAGTTCCCTCTGAGTGGTAACTCGCCTAAAGAGTGTGAGAAGTCCGGGGCTGTTCATAAAACATTCAGGACGCCACAGTGTGTTCCACACTACTGACGCTGCTCCTCTTTTTGGAACCACCGCGGAGTTGTTATAATTCTGCTTTCAGCCATGCTTGTTGTTGCTGTGGGTAACAGTATGACATCAATATGTCAACAAGTTGAAATATTGGGATATGAATTTTTCATTTGATATTGAAAATTATATTGGTATCATCGTGAATGAGATGATATGGCACACCCCTAGTCAAAATTGAAACCTGAATTCTTGGTGGTGACAAGCTAGCATGAGCATGTTCCCTGTTGGCTGGTGTGTTGGCAGTAAGTTTGTCCGTTAACCAAGTAGCCTGCAAGTAATCATTATGTCACCAGGCTTCATGCATTAACTATTAAACAAAAACTATTATAATACCAAAAATTATCTGCATGGCAATACACAAATACATTCAAATATGTAACAATGGCACAACAGTGTGCATGCACACACATGTACTGTATATATTCACCTACAATCACCCTCAAACCAAATCATCTAACAATACTGAACAACATTAAAAATCTTCAACACTGAGACAAAATAATAATTTTTAGAAACATTGTTTTACTTACTACTGACATGATTGTTAGGATGTAGTGCTCTAGGTTGCGTCCATGGTGACGCACCATTTTGGCATCCGCCGTCACCATCAGCTCAACGTAGCGAGGGTAGGAGAGGAAGCGCTTGCGTCTGCGTGGGGATTTGGGGTGTGTGCTCGTGGAGTTGTTGTCAAAAATGCGTTGATCATCTATTGTGGCTCTGAGAGAGTTCAGCTCCTCTCCCATACTCCCTCTGCTCTCAAAAGCAACCGGCCTCTTGGAGTTCTCTGCTTTAAGAAAGAAAAATGATGATGAGTGATGATGAGGAGAGGAAAAGATGTTTGGAACTTATTCATGGGAATTAAAATCTTGATCATGGGGGAGAATTGGACTTTTAAATACTCAAAATTCATCCACAGTGGACACTTACTGCTTTATGCTATAAAGGCATTTCATGAGAGAGCATGGTATGTCTACAGTTAAGAGCCAAAGGTTTTAGCTTAGCTGAATTCCAATGACATAACAGAATCATGCTGGACTTCTATGGCAAATACCCGCCATAAATTATTGTGTCATTCCAGTGCTCAGGAAAGAAGTTGTACCAAGAGACACGGGGTCAGTGGTGAGCTTTGAGTGTAAGAGTTTTTAGGTCAAGCAATGTGCACCTTCTCAGCCTGAGTGTAAGCCACACAAACAGAAAATCCCATGACGACATTTTACCAACTCACAGAGGGACTAGGCTCAGTCTGCAATCTGCAAGAGAATATAAAACCACCTCAAAATATTGCGTCTCTCTGACCCAGTTTCTTATCTGAAAATGAGGTAAAATGTGGACAACCACGCTGAAAGGTAACATAAAATACAATGTGTATATGATGCCAGATTGAAACGATTCCATTTACAACCTTGAGGTGAGCGCTTTCAACACAAGCCCGAGATGAGAGGGGGGAAAAAAAAGATCCAGGACATCAGCCATATACTGTGCATACTCAACTGGCATTCCCTCAGCTGAACTGCACGTGTTGAGCTGGCCATGAGCGATAGATTCCTTCACCATGACAGAGTGAGGTTAAAAGAGGGAGACAGAGGCAGAGACACAGACTAGGAAAGCCTGAAGAGCTTGTTTCATTGGAGGAGAGGAGAAGAAAAATCTGCAAAGGTTAAGGTCGAAGTGTATTTAATGACATATACACTTATGACAGATATGACTGTCTGTGCACAGGGGTGATTCTTGACCATGTGTTTTAGCAAAAATGCACATTTGGGACGTATTGAGCATACAACTAGATAAATGAGATTTAAATATACTGCACAAGTTGTGTGAGAGTTTCAGATGTTGTAGTTTTGCTGTTAAACGTGAATGCCTATCACTGCAGAATTTTTTTGTTTTTGGATTTTCTTACACCATGGAGGCAGGCAAGAAAGTTTTCACCCCAAATTCAATGCAACACGGAGTGAGTAATTTGGGGAGGCTGTGGCTCAAGGATACAAGATACTGGACAGAAGATAATGGACAAGATACTGAACTGAGCTGTTCCATCAGTGTGTGAGAGCGTGTGAATGGTTACTGGGTAGCAGGTGGCACCATGTATGGCAGCCTCGGCCACCAGTGTGTGGATGTGACATGAAGTGTAAAAGTGCTTTGAGTGGTCGAAGACTAGAAAGGCGCTATACAAGTGCGGCCCATTCACCATACTTAATATACAAATGAAGCTCTTGCGAAAGTTCAGTCAGGGAGACAACACTTTTCATGCTCAGGCTGTACGTTTTCATTCACCCCTTGCATGAATGCTCACTCAGTGTCTCTCGGTGTCATTGTCTGGGTCTGTCAATTGAGCTGATTCACAATCATGCAATAGTACAGCACCACACCTCCTCTGTCAGCCTATCATCTCCCTGCTCCTCATTTTAAATATGGTTCTTTCTCTGCCGTAGTTCTTTCTAGCTGCCAGTCGTGCGCACCCTCCACCTCCCCATCACCACCTTGTCTTTACAGATTCATCAGCCTCATCTGCCTCAGTAGTCAGCAGCCTGAGAGTCAGCAGCCACCACCACCACCAGTGTCTGGACTCCGTGGGGGGATTTATCTTGCTGCTGCTCAGATGTCCGTCAATCACACACTGTCTACCTCTGGTGTCCAAGCACCAAAGACTTCTGTTAAATTAATCAGCACAAATCATCTGTACACTCATATTCTGTATTAAATATTATCTTCACTTCATTCTTCTGTCTCTCCTGATATTGAAATGCTCACGTGAGAGCAGGGGGTAGTATTCCTTTAAGACTGTAGCCTGTCAGAGTTTGGAAAGAGAGCTACAGGTAGAGCAGGGGAACAAGAGGTGACAGACTTTCTACTCTTCACACAGGCAAACTCCAAATTGCTCAAAAACAAAGGTAATTCTGTTTGGGACACACAACTGCAGTATATTCCTGTTACTGACCAACAAACCAGCCCATACTGAAAACAGAGCTATGGATCTTTTTCAAGAAAAATAGTATCATCAATCAAGTTAATGGCGAACACATCGCAAAATCATCTGTGTATTCTGAACATCAAAATCTTTCAGCCGCAATCGATAATTTATGAGCACTGGATGGATTTCAATAACCATATTGTGTTGAAACAGGCCATCTGAGGACTAAGTATTCGCACACAGGCTATTGTGCTGTCCAGATTTGCGGCGATGCATTGCCACATGCCATACGGTGTAAGAAAGACTGCTTGCAGTAGTTTCTGCCATCTCTCAGCCAGGGAAAGATGGATTTCAAGGGCTACCCAACAAAGTGAGAGATAAATGTGGCAGGAGTGAGTAGTAAATCATGCAAACACACAGACATGACAGCTGTATAGGCACAAACTGAGATTTTTCATATTCACAACTCATGCAGCCCCAAACACACTCAACACTTTTAAGGCAACAGTCATCACCTTCTGCTGTGTTTTGTGTCGCCTTAAAGGAAATATGCATGGCAATAGGAATGTGGGAAAGTAAAAATTTTCAGAAATAAATTAAACATAAAATGACATTCACTAAATAAATGACTTTTTAGTAATTTTATGACTGTCAGTGTTTACGAGCCAAGCATAGTTTGGAGTCCATCATCCTAAACAACCCCCTCAACTTTAGATAACCCGATCATAGTGAAGAGTTCTATTGTCTTCTACAAACTCAGTCTTTCCAGAGACTCACACAGAGAGAGATTGTATGCAACTGTTAGGTCAGAGAAAAGCAAAAAAAAAAAAGAAAGAAGAGAAAACTCGCTGGGCGCTCCGAGATTATTCAAGTGATGCCCCCAGCGGGCACGCGAGGCGAAGCGTGACTCGCTGGCACAAAGGCACACAGCTCTTGCTGCCGTGAGGTCCAGCCCCATGCCAGTGCCAGCATCCAAGTCAGCGCCAAGTCTGTCTGTGCCCGTGCACACAGCTAGGGCAGCTGGGCCAGAACAGAGCTTTGTATTTTCCAGGAAAAATCTTTCCGAGGCCAAACCCACTACACTAAACCCCTTAAGCAGACTCATCACTGCAGACAGTCTGACATCAAAGGGATTATCAGAGAACAGAGGAGTATCTACATCTACAGAAATTGGTGTTAAGTCTCAGAGCAAGCAAGTGTGAGATGAGAAGAAAAGAGAAGAAGAAGAGGAGGAGAAAATATGGTCCCTGTTATAATAGCCTTTGAATCAGTGCAGATTAGCCACACACAACCTTTCCCAAATCGCCTTAGGTTCAAATCCCCCTCTCACTAGGTAGTGAGCTGCTACTTACACCATGAGAAGACAGGGGTGACTGCCCTGACCCGCCGGACATACAGAGACAAGACATCTCCCTCTGAGCACTGGGCATCAAATCACCTACACATGCACATCTCTGGATTGTAAATGTTGGAATTGATTACCAAACATCAAACTGTGAAACGTTTAATTTCTCTTTACAGCAGCAAAAATTTCACGACCTTGAGCCCGTAAAATCGAGCTCCAGCGGTTCTTCATAAGAGAGAACAATAAAGCGAACCCTGCACAGCATGAGAGCATTTATAAATGTTGTAATTTGGTTGGCTCCAGTATGCACATAGCTGAAAGAGAACCACACCACACTCACTTTTCTGCTCTAACGCCTACTTGAATTGTAAACTTACAAAAAGCTTTTTTATCAGAGTGCCAAAATATAATCAAACCCAACGAATATTACCAACAATATTTATCTACTCACTCAATAACATGTTCAATTGCACGCCAAGTGCCCCACACACATTATGAGCAAACATTTTCATACATATTTCAAGATTCCAGTTGGGTTTGAATGCTGCATGTGTTTACACTTAAGTATTTATTTACATATATTCACAAACATTCACAAGTATGGAAGCATTTTCAAGCTTGTGAGTGCACTCTCTGGTTTGAGTCCATTCATGTACATCCACCCTGTCCTGAAGGATCTCATTGAGATTTCAATCTAGATCAAAGAGCTGCTCTTTGACTCTCCTTCAGCTCACTGTCAAAAGTATCAATGCCAAGGGCCCAACAATGGGGAACACACATTTCATTGTTGAACTAATTAACATTCTTTTACAATGGCCCGCTGAGAGTTTAGGCGCCCTATTCCCAGGGTGCCAATTAAATAGACAGTATACCTTACATTGTGTATAGGTGCTGCCTTGGTTCTACTGTATACGAGATCAGACACTCTGGTTACTGACAGTACGACTCAAGAGGGGGGAAAAAGTTGAAACTCCTGCAGACAGAGGCACAATTTAGTGCAATTCTGTGGCTAGACAGAGAGAAGCAAAGGCAGCTAATTGTTGCTGCTGAAGAAAGCTTTTAAAAGTGAAGTGGCATGGCTTTTGACCTCACTGGAAGACGGTGGGCTTTGTACACTAACAGTGCTCTCTGAGTTCAGTTGTTATTTTCAGTTCAGAGACATGCTAAAGACAGCATGGCGGTCAGCTCAAGAATGTGTTTGGAGTAGCAGACCTCCTCTGAGGAGACAAAACAGTACTTATGGATCTGGAGTCCTAATGATGGGCAGGAGCCTGGAGTGTTTCTTTTTGTCAGACTCAAGCTGAAACTTTCTGACTATAAGATTTAAAGAAATTCATCAGACTGCAGAGGACCTGTTAACCTACTTGAAGACTGCACAATTTGCTGTTTTAATAACAGAAAATGTTTAAAAATCTGCATACAAATACACATGCTGTTAGACAACCTCTTTAATTGGCTGTTTTTGGAGAATACGAGCTGCAAAAAAGAAAAAATGTCATCATGTTTTACAGGATTGTGCCTATTTAAAATG